GGCAAGCAGGGAAGAGTCCTAGAGCTTCCGGATCCAGCCAGCTCCGAACTTCCCGGAAAAGTTCCCCCTCCCCCACCTGCCCCCAAAAACTTTTTAATGGACCCCCTCGATGACGACACCACATTCCAGATAGGGTCACGTGGGGCTGGGAATTCCTGCCACTTCCGGTGGGGGGAGCATGGGATGGGAGGGGCAACCTAGGCCCACCCTGGGCTGGGATGGAGGCAGGGTCCCCCGCCCACTCTGGGAGGGGAGTGAGGGGTGGTGGGTTAGAGCAGAGCTGGAGGTTGGGTCGGGGAGGGGCTGGGAGCCAGGACTCCTGGGTTCTCTTCCTGGCTGTGGGAGGGAGCGGCCTGGCTCTGGGTGGGGAACTGGATACCTGCCTTTTCCCTGGCAGAAGGGTTTCCTGGGCCCTGCTTAGCATCCCTGGCTCCCTTCCAGCATTATCAATCCTTGAGCCTCTCCTGCTACCTTATCAGTCCTGGAGATTATTGGTAGCCTGTCTGTTGCAGATTTGTGCCCATGCTTGACCCTGTGCAGCCTCTGGGGGAACCCCCTTCCCTGCGACAGCCTCTTCTCAGGGGCCACTCTCTTTTGGGAGTTAAGCCCCTTAACTCCTTGGACTGCACCTCTCTGAGCCCCCAGCATGCCTGTTTCTGTTGTGGGCCCCCTCAGGGAGTGCACTTGTCCTGGACCCTTGAGCCTGCACTCCCAGAGGGAATAATGCAGCCCTGTTCTCCAGACCAAAACGAGACTCAGCTATAAAACAGGAGGGTTTATTTAGCGTCTGAACACAGCATAGAAACTGTCAGGGTTGGTAGGCCTGGCCTCCCTCAGCACAGCGGCTACGTCTAGACTGGCACGAATTTCCGAAAATGCTTTTAACAGAAAAGTTTTCCGTTAAAAGCATTTTCGGAAAAGCACATCTAGATTGGCAGGATGCTTTTCCGCAAAAGCACTTTTTGCGGAAAAACGTCCGTGGCCAATCTAGACACGGTTTTCCGCAAAAAAGCCCCGATCGCCATTTTCGTGATCGGGGCTTTTTTTTCGGAAAACACTACTATGCTGTCTACACTGGCCCTTTTGGGCAAAAGTCTTTCGGAAAAAGACTTTTGCCCGAACGGGAGCAGCATAGTATTTCCGGAAAAGTATTGATGATTTTACATTAGATTGTCAGTGCTTTTCCGGAAATTCAAGCAGCCAGTGTAGACAGCTGGCAAGTTTTTCCGCAAAATCATCTGATTTTGCAGAAAAACTTTTCAGTCTAGACACAGCCAGCATGTTTGAGTCTTCCCTGAAGCCAGGTGGGCTCTGGGTGCTCTGTTCCCCCTCCTATCCTGCGCCCTGAGCACTTCCTATCTGGGCCTCTGATATTCCCTGCCCCCAAACCCCATGGCTGTCCTAATTTCCAGGGCCCCCACCCGCTGCAGGCCCTGCCCCACCCCTGTTCAGGCCCCAGGCACCATGTAATGCCATGGGTCTTGTCTATAGGATGTTTTTGGCGGTCACTACAGAGACCCCAAAGGCACAGGGCCTGGGGTGGCACAGGGCCTGGGGTGGCTGCCCCAAACCGTCCTATGGCTGTCGATGTCTTCTGTCCTGGTAAACAAGCTTGCCCTGGCCCCTCTCTTTTCTGTCTCTCTTTCCCCTCATCTGTCCTTTGTCCTCATGGGCTGGAACCAGCTGGATAGGTCATTGGGGTCCTCTCTCTACTGTCTGGGCTGGGGTCACCAGTCACTAGGGGTACCAGATGATTTAAAAAAAATACCAGACACACTTGATCTCAGATTGGGGGGAGGACTGGCCGGGAAAGGAGCGGGGCTGGCCAGGAGGAGGTTGGGGGGAGCAGGGCTGGTCGGAGGATATCGGGGGGAGGGGAGGACTGGCTGGCAGGAAGCAGGCCTGGCTGGGAGAGGGTTGGGGGGAGCGGGGCTGGCTGGGGGAGATCGGGCCTGGGGGGGGCCGGGCGGCGGG